TATCGCCGGTTACGATTCTTGTTTTTATGAAACGTAAATTGTGCAAGTGGTTTTTCAAATGAACGAATCGTAGGAGTCGATCCAATATGAGAAATTAAATCGTGTGATTCGATTCTCTAAAAAGAATCGTAATGTCCATCACTACTGGGAATCTTTTTGAATTAAGAAAGTGCACACTATACTCACTGCCATCTACAAAATATACTTGTATATCTCTACAAGACGTAGTCGGCAACGTTGGACGTAAATCCAGGAGTGTGCATGTTAAGGTGCCTAATCACTATCCGAACGAATGAACGAATGTTCATTCGTTCGTTCGGTAGTAGTATGGACGGGACCGGATTTTAGAACCAAACGAAAACACCTTAACACATTCGTTTGCGAACGCCTTTGATGTACCGACTCGAAACGGATGGCCGAGCGAACGAACAAACGAACGACCGTATGCGTTCGGTCCACCGTCCAAATATACCGAACTCCATTCGTTCTCTCGCTCGTTCGTTCGTTCGTTCGGATAATGAATACGCACCTACGAAGGTGTGAAACATGCGAATTCCTGAAAGTATGTAAACATATCTAACTGGTAATGAATAAGCTGTGACACTAGGGTACATGAATTCATTTGCATCTAGTATTTGCGTGATGTAACACGGGCATTGTTTTACTTCAGAATCTATGATTTACGCAGTCTTGATAATTGATCCGTCAAACAGATAATTGGTTACATATAACAACCGTCAACAATATGTTCCAGAACTGTTTATTTGTAGTAATCACAAGACAATACCGATAATTTGTATTGTACTTAAATAGTTATTTAGTCAACAGATTGGGGTTGAGATCCTTGTACTACATAGTACCTACGCTTTGTTTTGTTCGTGACGTGTATAGTTGAATTTACGTTTCTTTTATATTTTTTTATATAATCAAGATATGCTAACAAAATACCGAGAATAGGCCAATTGCAATAAGTATTATTCCATATTGATTTGGTTTGGTTTGGCTCCATCAAAGCTAAAACAAACATATAACGAAAAAAATCTTTGTTTCAAGCAGTACATTAATAAACCTATATACCATACGATCGAAAAAGAAACGGCGTTAGAGCTTGGAAATAAAACTTGCTCTCAGTTTATGTGCATGTAAAATTATATGGGGATGTCATCGATCGTCATTTCAGGACGAACTTGACACCTTTTTTTTCGATCTTACGGTATGTACTATAATTGCCTCCACATCCGTATAAATAATAAATTAAAACATTATAGTTTTCTATCGTATATAAAACTATAATGTCTATAGTTGTAACAGTAATTTAGATGAACAAATTTTGTATAAGAAATTTGAAAAAGAAAATTTTAAGTATTCTAGGTTTGCACATTCTTGGCTCTTAATATGGGCGATTCTTAATTATCTTATTACGCTCTAAAAACGAAAATATTACAAAAGTAATATCTTCAAAGTAAAAATAGAGGCCAGTCTAAAACACTCACTTAGGGCTATAAAGAGTTCTAAAAAAAGATTGAAGTGAAAATTGATTAAGAAAAATTTATCTATTTCAGAGCTGCGTTTTGCGGGGATACACTTTCGGGTGGGCATGATCCTCATAGATTGTGTATCTCAAGAATCGGCGAATTGGTTGGTGGAAATCGCACCTAAGCTTAAAAATTGGCAAGGGCCGGAACTGGTTGCAGTGTAGGGAAAAAACATCTTTAAAGAAGCGGCCATCAAGGTCTTTCTGCCGAGGAGCAAGGGGAAAGACACCACCTACCAATGTAAGGACATCTACATAAGGACATCGAGTTGGTGAGTCATCAACTCGAGGGAGGACGGTCATTCTGAGGTCTTCACAATGTGAATTGACCTCAAATCGAAGGAGGCAATAGAGAAAGAGGGACATATTTATTATAGATACGGGACAACACCGGCATCAGGTCTAAGGAAAGACCAAGTTAAAGAAGCGGAGAAAATGGAGATAGATCCCCCAGCTTACACCTCACGGGTCACCTCACTCAGCCGGAAGCAAGCTCCTCGACTGTGAAGGGCACGGAGGGTCAAACTCCAACCATAGAAGGCTGTGTACCCTCGGAGGAAAAAATTCTGTTATCAGAGGAGGATGGTAAATACCCTGTCTCTTCTAGAGTACAAACCAACTAAGAACATGCTACGAGCGTCATCACTTAGACATCGTTTGTCTCTCTTGCACTGGCACGTCCATGATTAGAACGCAAGAGAGAAGGCGATCGTTTTCTATGAAGGTCGTGACATGTTCTTAGTTGGTTCGTACTCTACAACAGGGATATTATATATTGACTGTGTGATGAGTTATAACTCAAGGAACAATAGATCACAATAGATCTTTTAGGTCGCAGTGATTTACTCCCTCTATAACTCATTCTACATTCTAGATCTATTTCAGACATAATTATTATAATCTTATAGCAGATAAAGATTAAGACATCATATTCCACCCAGCTGAAAAATATATTCCACTCTGTATATGGAAAAACCTGGTGTAAGAAGAAATCAATAATGCAAGGTAAGTATTGTAAGTATTTTAATACAGGGTGAGTGTTAAATAAAAAGCAAATATTTTCAGGGCTGGTAGATCTCGATAAAAGAAACATATTTACTGTACCACAATGGTATGTTCTGGGGTGGTGAAGAAGAGACTAGACGTATTTTAATCACACACTAACATTTATTATACTAATTATACTAACTAAAAACATATGTAAATGTACAGAAAAAAATATATATATCATCTATGTTAAAAGTCTCTTTTACACTCGTTTCTGTCGCGCGGGACGCGGTCGCTTCGGATTCTTCTTGCGACGTTGCCGGTACGCGTCATACCGCCCACCTTGAATGGTTGTAGTCATTTAAGTCATTCAACGCAACCACACAAATCCGATGCGATAACTATTAGTGCGGGTCACACACGTTACTCTGCTACAGGCAAAACGCATATTTTGCGAACCGCACGTTTTGCGACGCCTTTTGCCGTTTTTATAGTCACTACACGGACAACACCATCCGCACCTGAATGTATCTCCGATATACGACCCAAAGGCCATTGTAATGGCGGTAAATTGTCATCCACTAGTACCACCATCTCACCCACGGACACTTTGGTTGGGGTCGAATGTCCTTGGCCTGATCGCTGCTGAAGCTCGGTGAGGTAATCTCGTGACCATCGCTTCCAGAAATGCTGCGTGATCTGCGTCAGATGTTGATACTTGGAGAGACGTCCCGTGTTCAAATGGGAGAGGTCGGGTTCAGGTACCGCTACCAAGGAGCTTCCAATCAGAAAGTGGCCAGGTGTTAACGGAGTTAAGTCGTCGGGATCGCTCGACAATGGCGAGAGCGGCCGCGAATTTAGACAAGCTTCTACCTGTACCAAAACCGTATAAAAGTCCTCATATGTCAGAGTAGATTGACCGATAACCCTTCGTAAATGGTATTTGACAGCTTTAACTGCCGATTCCCAAATTCCGCCAAAATGGGGAGCGCGCGGGGGGATAAAATGCCACTATATTTGTTCAGTGGCACAGAATTCTGCAAAGCTATTCTGGTTTTGGACTTGCGTAAAAAACCTTTTTAATTCGTGATTTGCACCAATAAAGGTTGTGCCATTATCTGAATACATGTTTAAGCATTTGCCCCTTCGCGAGATAAAACGTTTGAATGCATTCAGGAATGAATTGGTAGTTAAATCCACCACCAATTCCAGATGCACAGCCTTAGTAAACAAACATATAAAAACACAGAGGTATGCCTTTGCAAGTTGTCTACTTCTGTGACAATCCTACCTTTATGAAAAGGGACCGGCATAGTCCACGCCACAGTTAAGAAACGGTCTAGAGGGTGTTATCCTTTGTTCAGGCAATTGCCCTAATAAGGTATCGACCGTGATAGGTTTTGCCTTAAAGCATATAACGCAATGTTTTAGTGCTCTTCGAACTTCATTTCTACCCGCAATAGGCCAAAAACGCGTACGCAAATGAGTTAATAATGCTTGAGGACCCGCATGCAACAACTTACGGTGCTCATAAGTTATCAACAGTTTCGTTAACTTATGACCCTTAGGAAGAATCATTGGGTGTTTGAAATCAAAATCGAGATTTGATCTTTTCAATCTACCGCCAACTCTTAGTACACCCTCATTGTCCATGAATGGATTTAAATTTCTTAGTTTACTTTTAATATTTACAGCGCGCTTATTTTTTAGACTGGATATTTCTTCATGAAATTCGTGCTGTTGAGCAAGCTTCACCAGACATTTCAACGAGTTGTCGAGTTCTTGCGTTGTTAAAGGGCCTTTTGAGGCGAAATCTTTAATGTGTTATTTTTAAACCGCAAAATATATGCCACAACTCTCTGAAACTTTAAAAAAGAAGAAAATCTGTCAAATAATGACGTATCAGGTTTAGTAACAACCATAACCTTACTAATGTTTTTCCTTTCCGGAACTTCAGATATCTTTATTGGCATACTTGTGGGCCACTTGTCACTCTCCCATTGCATCCAATGCGGGCCGTGCCACCACAACTGGGAATCGTTTAATTCGGTCGGGTTGATGCCTCGCGAAATTATGTCCGCAGGGTTATCTTCCGAGCGTACATGTTTCCAACTGTATTTATCGGTCAAATCTTGAATCTCCGCAGCTCTATTTCCAACAAATGTCTTCCATTTGTGAGGCTCATCGAGGATCCAAGTGAGTGTTATACTGGAATCGCACCAATAGAAAAATTGGTCTACGTGCAATTTCAACGACTTGGTTACAAGGCTACTTAATTTTGCACTTAGTAACGCTCCGCACAGCCCTAAACGTGGCAGAGTCATGGTTTTCAACGGAGCCACTCTGGATTTTGCGCAGAGTAAATTGCAGTTATACACTCCAGAAGCATCCTGTGATCTTAGGTAAACGCATGCTCCGTAAGCAGATTCGGATGCGTCACAAAATGAATGCATTTCGACCTTGATTGGACGATGACACATCACATGGCGAGATATTGAAATATTTTTCGCGATATGATTTGATCCTGATAATATTTCCAGGCAGTGTAAATTTGTGAGGGCACACTCTCATCCCAGTCGAGGGAGAGTTGCCATAATTGCTGGATTAGAATTTTTGCCCTTATTATTATGGGCCCTATCAATCCAAGCGGGTCAAAAATTTTGGATATAAAAGACAAAATAGTTCGTTTGGTTACGTATTTCTTTCTATCGCAAATGGCATGTAAACTGTACTGAAAGGTGTCATCCTCACTATTCCACACAATTCCGAGTGTTTTCGTCTCTTTATTTTCCGAAAAATACAGTTGGTTATTTTCTGGCATGTTTGGCTCAATAATTGAAGCCTCGTTGGATTTCCATTTTCTCAGTTCGAAAAGTCCTTGAGATAAGATGCCTGTGATATCTTTTTTAATTTGAAGCACATCTTCTATGGTGTCGCCTCCAGAGATTAGATCATCCACATAGAAATCTTCTTTGATTACATTACTTATTTTGGGGTTCCGTTTTTGATTTTCAAGAGCTAATTGATGCAGACATCTGACTGCCAAAAAAGGCGCACACGAAGTACCATAAGTCACTGTGTTTAAAGTGTAAGCCTTCAGAGGCTCATCAGCATTCTTCCTCCAAAGAATTGATTGAAGATGTCGCTGATTATCATGCACATTTACTTGGCGGTACATCTTTGCACAATCAGCTGTTATGACATATTGATGTTTTCGGAATCTAAGTATAATGGAAAACAGATCCTGTTGAATTGTAGGCCCTGTCATGAGTGCGTCATTAAGTGATAATCCTGATTCCGTTTTCGCAGAAGCGTCGAACACAACCCTGACCTTGGTAGTTGACGAGGACTCTCTAAAAACACAAGTATGCGGGAGATAATTCAACGTTGGATCTTCAGTATGAACTTCTGACATGTGGCCTAGCGTTTGATATTCATCAAGAAAGTCGGCATATTGTGCGTGTAACTCAGTGTTACTGCGCAACCGTTTTTCTAAAGACTTAAACCGCTTTAAGGCCATTGATTTTGACTCGCCTAACTTTGAACTGTCTATTTTTAATGGCAGTTGAACTGAAAATCTTCCATTTTCTTCACGTTTATGATTTAATACAAAATCATTCTCACAAGCCTTTTGCTCTAGGGACCAAACTGGTGATGATTCGACGTGTTCTATTCGCCAAAAGTTTTCTAATTGCTTTTGTAGTTCTGAATTGATAGAAAAATGACACACTGTCTTGCTTGGGATATTTACTGAAATGTTAGCTTGACCCGATAGAATCCATCCCAATTTGATCTTTTGCGAAATAATCTGAGAATTTGTTAATTTTATCTGTCCAATACACAGCAAACTCCAAAAAATTGATGCGCCGAGTAAAGCATCAATTTTGGATGGCACATTGCACGATGGATCAGCCAATTTTATATTTTCTGGTATCTGAAGATTCGAAAAGTCAATGGTGTTCAAAGGCGATTATCCGTAATTTGATCTATTACCAAAAAGGAGAGATCTGTTTGGAAATTATTGTGAACAGATTTAATGGTTGCCTGTACTTTATGGGAAATGTCTAGAGAAGCTTTACTCAGCCCTGAGACCGCAAGGTTTAATGTTTGCTTAGACAAATTAAGTTTCTCACATAGTTCTTTCGTAATGAAGTTACTCTGCGAACCTGAGTCCAGTAGGACCTTACATTGGTGATATCTACCAGAACTATCACACATAAAAACAATTGCTGTCGATAACAAAATCTCATCATTTTTGAAGGTAGTATGAGCTGATACTGATTTTTCTTGAACTGGATTATCAGTGCTTTTATTATTTTCAAAATGCAAGAGTACATGATGTTTTTTATTACAAACCATGCAAAGGTTTTCGGTTGTGCATGTCTGATATGAGTGACCAGCACCAAGGCAATTTGCGCATAACTTATGTTTCTTAGCCTCAGCGTATCGCGTCTTCGGAGACAAACTTAAAAACTTATCGCAAATTGTAATTTTGTGAGTTTGTTTACATATGACACACGCGGCCATCGCAAAATAATTTTGAGATTGCTCTTTATGATTAAAACTTTTTGTATTTTTGAAAGATGAGATATTAGATGGACTTTGTGATTTATTTTCCGGTTTTTTATAATTTATTGTTTGTAACAGAATGCACCTTTTATGAAGAAAATCGGTAAAATCCTTTGTTGAAGGTATAGTTAAGGGTTCCGAGACTACCTCCCACTCCCTTCTGGTGGAATTGTCAAGCTTTGAACAAATTAAGTATATAAGTAGAGTGTCCCATTTGTCAACAGGCTCTTGCAATGATTCTAGTGCTCTCAAATTTTTATTAAAATTATCTAATAATTGCCTCATACTGACATGTGACTCTCTGCTTAACTGAGGTAGTTCAAAAATTGCCTTTACGTGATTGTGTATAATGAGGCGTTTATTGTGATATCTATCCTTGAGCAACTTCCATGCTATGTGATTACCATAAAGTAGGTAATTACCGGTAAAAGTAGGTAAATCTATTTTCGGAAATTTAATACCTGGAATATGGTGTGGAACCACCTGTTGAATGGATTGTGCTGAGTTTGAATTAGTCAAATTTAATTCTAAAATGCCGTTTGCATTTGCAATCACTTGATAATATTTATCTTCAAACTCCGCACGTTCGTCAACGTTTGTGTCCTCGCCATTAACATCCTCATGCATCTCTATTTGCATTTGAACCTCATCGAATTCTTGCCACAACCTTTGACATTGTGCCATTCGTACTTTTAATTGATCATACTCATCATTGAAGTTATTTATAAAATTTTCAAAACGCGTAATTTGACCTTTTATATTACCTCGCTTTTTCTTAAGAGTTTGTAAATTATTAGGATTCATTTTTTTTATTTACTTAAGAAACAATTAGTTATAATATTTAAAAATAATAAAATAATACTATCGTAAAACTATTTCGGATACGGGCAAAAACTCTGAACTTTATACGGAATTAGCGCAAATAGAAACAATATAAATATAATGCGGATAAAAAGGTTTATACGACCTGGTGAATCAATGCTCCTCGACGATGTTTCCCTCCAAAGCGGTACGGAACCATTCGATACGCTGAACACCCTCACCCACGGCTTAGATCCTTTTTCCTTGAATTCGACAACGCTGCCAATCTCGTCCCATATGATCCTTAAGACGGCGTTCTAGCCTCGCGATTCCACTCTATCGCGCTCTCTCTGACGTACAAGGGTAACTCCCTACGAACTTGACGCCTGGGAACAAGGCTACTGCACCGGAAAGACTCTGGAAGACGGTCTCGAGTTAATGGCTGCTTCGTCGGCCGGCGAAATTACCGATACACTTTACGATTTTCGCTGATTATCCGGCTCGAAGGACCAATGTACCACAATGGTATGTTCTGGGGTGGTGAAGAAGAGACTAGACGTATTTTAATCACACACTAACATTTATTATACTAATTATACTAACTAAAAAACATATGTAAATGTACAGAAAAAAATATATATATCATCTATGTTAAAAGTCTCTTTTACACTCGTTTCTGTCGCGCGGGACGCGGTCGCTTCGGATTCTTCTTGCGACGTTGCCGGTACGCGTCATTTACTCTTTACCATTTTCAAACAAATCGAAAATAACCGAGTTATTAGGGTCTAAAAATATTAAAAAATTGATTTATTTAAAAAAAAATTGAGAGCCACCGGACTTTTTCTGTATTTGCAGCCCTTCTACGGCCGTAACCATAGAAATGTCAGAGATTAATAAATTGTGCCCTGGGAAAATTTGCGGTTAACAGGCAGTTCCAATAAGTTTTCTAAAATATACAGAAAAATTTAAAAGAAAATCCACAATTTTCATCGTCTTTTTTATACGAAAAAAACCTCATAGGCCTATTTCTGGGGTCGAAATATACCACCAATAAAAATATTTGCACTTATTTAAGACTCATCCTGTTTAATGTTCTACCATTACTTTTTTGTATAAAAAGTAAAACATCATGCTGAAAATCATGTTTGGTTTGGGTGCCGTTTTTTTTTCAATCAAATTTCATTTTGTATTTAAGTACCTATTTTATTCATTTTAGTCATAAGAAAATATTAATCTATTTAATGCAATTTATTGAAGATAGAAATGAAATGAATAAGTATTCTAAAATTTTCTACTGTTTTCGTCACGTACTGGTTCTTATCTACCAACACTAATCCCACCGAAACAGACAAAATTATTGCCTTCTTATTTTACGACGATGGCGAACAGTAACCCGAACTATGAATAGGTAGATTTAGCCATCAATGTTGGGAAAGGGCGGAGATATACTCCATTGTTTCGAGATTATCCGGCCGGGTAACGGCACTGGTACGGCCCACCCTCGGAGCCGGGTTCTTTTACAATACCATAACTCAAAGGACACCCACTAGACTCCGCGTCTAACCCGTCATAAAAATTGTCATCCCCAGACCTTCATTTATCATTTCTTCGTATAGATAAGGTGTGCTTCTTATTTGTTTACTTATTTCAAAGGGTTCGGTACAAGGAAAGGCACGCGTTTTATAGGGAAATGTTCCGAGAATCTATAAAGTATGTACTTCCATTCCAGAAATATTGTTATGACAACTCATAACCAAAACCAAGTATTTTTTGAAATAGGATCAATTTTAGATTAAAAGGGTATAGCAGGATTAAAATGGGAAATCTGCTCCGCGGCTTTTTTGACTCGCACTCAAAAAATCGATTTGGTGTCGTATCAAAATAATTCACCTAAATTTTTAGCTCTTTAACTCAAACGGTTTTCGAGATTTTCAAAAAACCTGTTTTTTCAATTCTATTATTATTTTTATATTAAAATTCAAAATTAATTAATATTGCTTTTTTTTCTAATTCTTAAGGTGCGTATTCATTATCCGAACGAACGAACGAACGAATGTTCGCTAGTGGTATGGACGGGGACCGCGCGCGCGTACGACAGAACCGCACGAGCAGACCGCGCGCATTTCTTGTCGAATTTCCGTGGATTCGCCATTCGCCAATACTATCGAGATAATAGTGCTATGGATCGCGACGAAGAAATAATAATAATTAGCGCCTGTTATGTAGTAATAAAATTGCTTTCAAAAAAACGACGGCGAAAAAAACGTTTTTGGGAAAGGCGATTATACCAAAGCAGATTAAGATATCGTGGAGTGGATATTCTAGAAGACCTTAGAACAGATGATCATCGACATTTTCACAACTTTTGCAGAATTTCATATGACGATTTTCAGTGGTTATTAAATAGAATTCAACATAAAATCTCTAAACAAAATACAATGTTTCGAGAAGCAATACCTGCAGCAGAACGACTTGCTATCACTCTTCGATTTTTGGGTACCGGAGACACTTATACTAGTCTTCAGTATTTTTATAATCTTTTTGGGTTGGATCCCACAAGCAAGCATTTTCCTTATATAATTCAATTAATGTCAGGGTGTCTTCGTTTTTCCACTCCATTGTATCGACCACAAACGCGTCACCGTACGCTTCTTCACTTTAAACACGTCTAAATCTGAATGCGCACGCAGGCGAACGCCTTTGATGTACCGACTCGAAACGGATGGTCGAGCGAACGAACGAACGAACGGCCGCATGCGTTCGGTCCCAGTCTAAATATACCGCACCTTCATTCGTTCGTTCGTTCGTTCGGATAATGAATACGCACCTTAAAGGTATTCATTATCCGAACGAACGAACGAACGAATGAAAGTGCGGTATATTTAGACGGGGACCGAACGCATGCAGCCGTTCGTTCGACCATCCGTTTCGAGTCGGTACATCAAAGGCGTTCGCCAACAAATGCCTCCGGTCTTCTCGTGCGCTTCTATCGTACGGTCCCCGTCCATACCACTAGCGAACATTCGTTCGTTCGTTCGGATAATGAATACGCACCTTTAGAAGTTTAAGACATGAAAAAATAATATGATTTTAATTAAGTGTTTAATACTTAACAAAACATATTTTTTATTGACATTAATTTTCCTTCTCGATTTCAATCGATCTTTTTTACGTATTGTAACTTACTGATTCTTCACGAATACATCTGTCTGATTGGCATTTTTTAACGATTATTTCTTGTATCATACAGGGTGGCCCATCGAAAACGTTCCGCAAGGCATAACGGCCAGGGTAATTTTTTTTCAGAAAATCCAAAAACACGTCAATTTTGTTTGTGAGGGGGACAACTTTAGGCCCACAAATGATTGCAAAATCTTCAACCCTCTAAGCGGGGGTGTCATCCCCCAACTTTTTTCAAATGGGAAGGGGGGTCAAGTGGCGCCGCAATGAAAAGAGCTTTTTATTCTCTATATTTTCCCGCTTCGTTTTTGAAAACCGGTAGAGTCATTGAGAAAATATGAAGGATTGAAATTTGAAAAGTTTATTTAAACATTTATCAGAGTAAATGATAAGGATAAATTCCTTCGACCAATTTGCTGTTTTTTTCTTATTATTTCTAGATGTTTACGCATGTTTTCACTTGCCACAAGGTTGAACGATCATTTGCTAGATAGCTGTTCTGTGACTTGTGCGTTGAAGTTCTTCTCAATATCGTTAAACTTTTTAACAATTATGATGTACTCACTTGCAGAAAAAGTGGAAATAATCGAACTTTATTTTAAAAATAATGAATGTGGCAATCGGGTTGCGCAGATATTCAATGAACGCCATCCTGAAATTAAAATCTTCATTTTTTTAACCTTTGTGAAATATGTCACTTACTAACAATCGTCAGAAAATGTCTTTTATACTCCTTTACACTCAGGATTTTTTTAGAATTTAAAAAAAACTCATTTTTTTTCTAAAATCTTCTGTTTTAACTAACTTATATTTTTGATTAGTTTAAAAAAATGTTTTCTACTCACATTTTTTCATTAAAAATACATCCTTGCTAGAAACCAGAAATAAACATAAAGATTATAAGAAAAATATCGATCCGAGAAGATTTTGGGAAAAAAAGATTTTAGAAAATAAATGAGTTTATAATTTTTTTCATATTGTTCCACCATTTCAAAAAATTTTAAAAAATCCTCAGTGTAAAGGAGTATTAAAGACATTTTCTGACGATTGTTAGTGAGTGACATATTTCATGAAGGTTAAAAAAATGAAGATTTTAATTTTCTTTCCTCCGCTAAAAATCGGCTTTTCCCTTAAAGGCGGCTACAGACGTTCATGCAGACTTGACAAGTGTACTTGTGCAAGCGTACTTGTACAAGTTTGCATTGACTCCACACAATACAAGCGCACTTGAATAGTTTTAGTCTAGTTTTAGTAGGTAAAAATGGACGAAAAAGACGCGCTAGCTCTTGCGATGTTCGTGATTCTGCTTAAACAAAAAGAAAAAAAGAAACCCGTTGATTTTAGTGCAAAAACTCGCTTCTAAAGAGGAATATTTATTCGCATACTAATATTTTAAACAAAAAGTTTTACCCTGCTGATTGGCATAATTATTTACGAATGAATGAAGAAACATATTTTAAACTGTTATTACTGGTTAACGCTTTTATTGAAAAGAAATTGTTCTTAAACTGTTTATTTTTCTACAACCGAATCGCGGTTTGTAGTTTTATGAATTTCTTGCAATTTTGTCATTAAACTTTTATATGCAGTCTCTCTTTTGTTTTTATTACGATAGTCCTTTGATTTTGATTGCCATAAACAAAGAGATTATAAATACTAATGAACTCGACCAATACCTCGCGCATACTTTTTTCATGTTCATTAGCCATTTTTATCTATCTTTTGGTAACAAACAAATAAGAAACAAGCAATAAACCCATAATAAACCTACTAAAACCAACTTCAGGCTTGCGCAAGTTTGATACACACGTTCATGCATACTT